TGCAGGATATCCATTTACGTTCTCCTTCTCCCCCCCCCCACCGATCTTGCTAGATGGTGTAGTATAGAGCCTGCCATCAACAAGCCAAGAGAACCATCTTGACTACTGAAACAGCTGAATTGCGTTAGGGCTGGCTCGCTCACCACCACCCCTAGACTCGTACACGTGCTGGTCATATACGAGTACTGCTGAAACACTAGATCCGATCCTATTTGTTAATTTTGCTTCTCTAGTCACAGAACATGCGGCGAGGCATTCGGGAGCATCCACTAATCACATCCACGTCGTGTCGACAAGGCGAAGGTCGAGGAACCTCGATCAACGTTGGGATGGGTCTCCCTCGCCCTAAAAATCGAATGCGACGGTAGGACCGACTGGCCTACATCCTGTGCGCAACGTTAGCGGGAAACGTTCGTCTCGTTTGAGGAGGCGGGATTTCCGTGTCCTGTTGGTGAAACGGTAATTTTAACGGCATTTAAAGAAATTTTGCAAGCATCGAAGGTAATTTGAACGACAATAATGACCACGGTGTAACGAGACACAAAACCGATGTCAAGCGAAATTCGCCGGTGCGAGAGGGGGAGGGCGAAAGGGCGGGCGTATAGAGTCGTGGCAGCTATCGAAGAGAGAAAAATCGAAGCAAATAGATTGACAATCACTGGGCGTTACGCGGACATTATCTTTCGTCAGTGGGTGACATGTCGCAGAACTTTAACCGTCGGGCTTTAAACTAGCACTGATGAATGAAATCGTCTCTGACATGTAAGTGCATTGAAATAATATATCCACGAATTCGCCCCCGAACATGAGGCAAGAAGAACAGAATCGAAGAGATATCGAAGAGAGGAAAATCGAAGAATCTACAGGGGCGTAGTTAATTCATTTTGTCTGGGGGAGGCGTCAACCCTACCCACGGGTTGTATAGTGAGCGGCGGACCATGGGGAATTTGTTATTGTCCATATAATAGCAGACATTTGTCTGGGAGGGAGCGATGATCCTTTTCCGCCTCCCGCGCTAGCTACGATCCTTACTTTTCTGCCTCCCCTGTTAGCTACGATCCTTACTTTTCCGCCTCCCCCGCTAGCTACGATCCTTACTTTTCCGCCTCCCCCGCTAGCTACGATCCTTACTTTTCCGCCTCCCCCGCTAGCTACGATCCTTACTTGAGATGTCAGAAAATCAAATGGTGGATGCATGGTAGGAGTCTCTCGCGATATCTCGTTCGGTGGAGACTACTATACAAATAAATAAATTTTGTCGTGTGTTTATCAAAGTTTGTTTTCATGCTAATAAAAATGATAAAATAAGCTGCATTTTGTCATTATCCAATCGGAATGTTGTGGGGCGCATACCTGTAGATATCAGATTTTAGGAGTGGTGGCAAGATGGCGGCAGTGGCGCGGTGACGTCACTTTCTTACCGATCGGGAATAGGCTAACCGCGCCATCCAGTTAATATAAAGATATCAGTGATTCCACCAGGTGGAGTGAGAGTCATACCATGTTAGCATCGCCTGCTCGAACCCTCACGAGATTCAACCGCGGGCCGATGAGCCAGCCATGACTTGGAGCGATTCAAAATGAAGTTTATTAAATTTAAAATATTAATTCGATTATTAGTCATCGCCGCGTCGCTTCACATTTGTTCTCGCAAGCGCGCGATCAATGTGAATGCCTCGTAAACAACTGCACAAACGGCAAGGACATGGGTGTATCGTATCAAGAGCTTATAATACCTCATTCAATTAAATTAGCTAGTAATTATTAGGGTATTATTAGCTCTTGATCACGTACTCATTTCCAGTAGGAACTTTGTAGGAAAAAGAAAAAGAGCACCGATGTGTGTGTGTGTGTGTGTGCGTGTGTGTGTGTGCGTGTGTGTGTGTGTGTGTGTGTGTGTGTGTGTGTGTCGCGCGCTCAGTGTGCGTGTGTGTGCGTGCAATTGTGAGCGCAGCGCGGCAGGCCGTGTGTGTGTGTGTGTGTGTGATTGTGTGGTGTGTGTGTGTGTGTTGTGTGCGTGCATGTGCGGCCGGCGGTGTGTGTGATGTGTGCGCGGGCGCGTGATGTGTGCGAGCAGCGCGTGTGCGTGCGCCGCGGCGCGTGTGGTGTGTGTGGTCGCCCGCGCGTGTGATGTGTGATGCGCGCGCGTTGTGTGTGTGTGCGCCGCGCATGTGGCGTGGTGTGTGTGTGTCCTGCGAGCGCGTGTGTGTCGATGCATTTGCGCGCGTGTGGATGCGCGCCAGTAGTGTGGTGCGTGCATGTGCGTTGTCGTGCGTGTGCGACGCGGTGTGACGTGTGGTGTGTTGGTGTGTTGTGTGGTGTAGTGTTGATGTCGCGTGTGTGTGCGTGTATGTGTGTGTGTGTGTGTGTGCGCGTGTGCGTGTGCGTGCGTGCGTGCATGTGTGTGTGTGTGCGTGTGTCTGTGTGAGTGCGTGTGCGCGCATGTGTGCGTGCGTGTTTGTTCGCACTATATCACGCGTACGACACCGCACGATACGGTTACGTGACTTCATTCGCACACGCGCTCGTACTTCCACGCATTTATGTGCGCAAGCCTATACAGAACGATATCTTTACCTCGATAACGGTATATGTCGTCTATCTGAAGCCTGTCGAACGAAGCTGATCTGTCTTTTCAAGGCTGTTGCTGTTACTGCTGCTGCTGTCGTTTCTGTTGTTGTTGTTTTCGCTGATGCTGCGGATGATTATGATGATGATGCCGAGTATGATTACGATGATGATGCTACTGCTGTCGCTGTTGCTGCTGCTGCTACTGCTGCTGTTCAAACTGTCGCTACTGCTGTTATTTCAGCTGCCGCTGCTGTTGCTGCTGTTGATGTTGTTATAATTGTTTTTTGCTGTTGTTACTGCTGCTACTGCTGTTGTTTTTCTTTTTGTTTTTAATCCGTTTGCTGCTGCTACAACTCGTACTGCTGGCACATGTCGCTGCCTCCACCCTCCGCTCTGCTGCAAGTATTAATAGTTGACAGCCGCGCATCTCTCTCTCTCTCTCTCTCTCTCTCTCTCTCTCTCTCTCTATCTCTCTTCCTCGCTTTTTCTTTCTTCTTTCTCTCTCTCTCTCTCTCTCTTTCTCTCTCTTTCTTTCTCTCTCTTTTCGTTTCTCTCTCTTCTCTCTCTCTCTCTCTCTCTCTCTCTCTCTCTCTCTCTCCATTACTCTCTCTCTCTCTCTCTGCTCTCCTTACTCATCTCCTCTCTTCTCTCTCTCTTCTCTCTCTTCTCTCTCTTCTCTCCTCTCTCTCTCTTTCTCGCTCTAAGCGTGCGCTCTCGCACGACGCGTCGATCTCCTCGTTACAGGAGGACGTGATTTACAACGCTTCAGCGAAGTGCAGAAGGTATATATGACACGTCGCACCAAACGACCTCAACCACACTACACCACACACACGACAACATTCACACGCCACACATCTCTGTACACGCACACAATTCCACACGCACGCCACGCCACACACGCACACCCCGAACACACGCCACCACACACGACACACACACACACACATATATTATAATATACTTATATTATATATATATATACACGCGCGCGCGTCGGTGCATACGTGCTCATCGGTGCGCCGAGGCACACTGCCTGTCCGTCTGCGTTCGCTCCCGATGTCCGATCGTAAATTCACGCGCGTCTGTTTGGGTGTGCACGTTCGAGGTACAAACGGGTGGGGGGGCACGCACGCGTCCTACGGATGATTTGAAGATGCTGCAATGTGATGTGATGTGATGCAGCGCTGCTGCCGTCGTAGTTCCTTTCTGTATTGATGATGACTTTATGCTCCTATGCATCGCCTTTCCGTTATTTTCAGACGCGCGCACACACGTATACACACGCGTACGCGCGCACGCACTCACGCCCACTCACATACACACACACGTGCACATACACGCGCGCTCACTTACACACACACACACACACACACACACACACACAC